ATAATAATAACCAATTGCTTGTCGAAGTAGCATTCGACTGGAAGAAAAAAACGAGGCTAATTTTGTGAAAATTGTTGTAGGCATGGAGTTAGGCAACTCCGAACGGGTTGGGCCGATGGGCCCGCGTACATCACACAATGCCCCATTCAACCGGGCCATAGCTACGTCTACAATTTCACAATCACGGGACAAAGGGGCACACTTTTTTGGCATGCACACATTCTCTGGCTTAGGTCCACCGTGCACGGTGCTTTAGTCATTTTGCCTAAGCTCGGTGTGCCGTATCCCTTCCCAAAACCCGATCACGAAAGGGTCGTCGTTTTAGGAGAATGGTGGAAGTCCGATACTGAAGCAGTCATCAACGAGGCGATTAAATCGGGCTTGGCGCCAAACGTGTCCGACGCTCACACCATCAACGGTCATCCGGGACTCGTCTCGAACTGTTCGTCCACAGGTAAAAATATAAAACGAGCTTTGGATTCGGTCGACCGAATTATAATAAGGGCAATACTACATATACAATTATTATTGACAATATTGGTTGACAACATTAGTTAGGCGTTTTATAAATTTTATTTAAGTCCAATCTTAGTCTTACATTTATTTGCATCTAGACCATGTTGTCATGAAATATTGTACGAAAAAATTGTACAAGTAACTTTTTTCAATTAATTATCTAAAATTACTCGATACACACCCCCTTTGCAGACGCCTACTCGTTGAGCGTGGCCCCAGGAAAAACGTACCTTCTCCGCCTCATCAACGCCGCACTCAACGAGGAGCTATTTTTCAAGATTGCCGGCCACCAGCTCACGGTGGTCGAGGTCGACGCTACCTACGTCAAACCCTTCAAAACCGACACCGTTCTCGTCGCCCCCGGACAAACCACCAACGTCCTCCTCGCCGCCAACCGAGCCTCCGGCAAGTACATGGTCACCGCCTCGCCGTTCCTTGATACAATGTCGGTCGCCGTCGACAACGCCACCGCCGTCGCTGCTGTTCACTACACCGGCATGCTCGCCGCTGCCGCCACGACGGCCACTGCCCCGCCGCTGCGCAACGCCACCTCCGTGGCCAACGCCTTCCTCGATTCCCTCCGTAGCTTGAATTCTAAAAAATACCCGGCAAAAGTCCCTCAAACGGTCGACCATTCCCTGTTTTTCGCGGTCGGGCTCGGGCTCAACCCGTGCTCGACCTGCAAAGCAGGGAACGGCAGCCGGGTCGTGGCCAGCGTGAACAATGTCACGTTCCAAATGCCGACTGTGGCCCTGCTCGGGGCCCACGTCTTCAACGTCAAGGGGGTTTTCACGACTGATTTTCCGGCGAACCCACCGACTCAGTTTAACTACACGGGGACGCCGCCGGGGGGGCTGGCGACCACCGTGGCCACCAAGGTGTACCGGCTGCCGTACGGCTCCACGGTACAGGTCGTGCTGCAGGACACTGGGATTATAGCACCGGAAAACCACCCGGTTCACCTGCATGGGTTCAATTTCTTCGCTGTCGGCAAGGGATTGGGCAATTTCAATCCGAATACAGACCCCAAAAACTTTAATCTCGTCGACCCTGTCGAGAGGAACACTATCGGCGTGCCGTCTGGCGGATGGGTCGCCATTAGATTCACCGCGGATAATCCAGGTAAAGAGTCCTGCTATATTGTCAAAACGTTTTTCGTATTGATTTAATGAAAGCGCACACGAAAAGTGTCAATTACTCTTCTCATTATAATATCGTCAAAATCATCCAACCAAATCTTGATGATACACGATTGGGTAATCTAGCTAGTAAACCAAGTAGATTACCTTTACAAACAATTTCAAAAGAACAAAAAAAAATTGTTTTTTTCACTAGTTTGTTATTATTTGTTTAATTAATTTGATTTAATTTAATTTTTGTAGGGGTTTGGTTTATGCATTGCCATTTGGAGGTCCACACAACTTGGGGTTTAAAAATGGCATTCTTGGTGGACAATGGGAAGGGCCCAAACCAGTCCATTTTTCCACCTCCTAAGGATCTGCCCAAATGTTGAATTTCAAATTTTAATATTTTTTTCCCATTTGAGTTTGGTGAGTGATTTTAGGGCGAAGAAAGATGGACTTGATACAAACGTCATGCTTGCAGGAAGTGACTTATGAGGCCCAAAAGAGGGGACGGCCCAATATGCTTGAGAGTGTTGTCAAATTTGTTTCTTGAGTGAGAGAAATTTTGCTCAAGCTGATGTCAGTAATTATTAAGCTTTGTTTGTGATGTTAAATAAAAAATGTTGAGATGATGTTCTTTTAGTTTATAATAGTGTATGTGTTGAATCATTTTAATGTAAAATGTTGATATTTGATATGGATTTTTTTTTTAAAGGACCTTTGATGGACTAAAATGAAGGCCTTCATGCAAATATCCACTAATAAATAATAATTGGTCTATGGGCTTCTTATTCAAATTAGGCCCAATAGATGTGGTCTGTTTCATTCAACGGGCAAATTCGATCTGGCCACCAATTTTGACTGTGTTGATCCAACGATTAAAAACTCTTTTGAAATGAAAATTACTATTCGAATAAGATGAGTCAAGTTCAGTTTACTCATTTTCTTTTCCCAGTTTAAATCACTTACCATTTGTTTAAGTTTAACTGGTCAATTAAATCCTAAAAATAAAAGGTTCAAATTTCAAAAACTATATGATTCCTTATAAAAAGAATCAGGAAAATAAACAATGGCAGAAGGAACAATTTCAAAGACTTAGCTAAAATTAGCTTGACATTA